ATATAGATAGATAGATAGATGATAGATGATAGATAGATAGATAGATAGATGATAGATGATGATGATAGATAGATGATAGATAGATAGAGAGAGAGATAGAGAGATAGATAATGGATATGATGGATAGATGACAGATAAATGGATAATGGAAAGCAAGTAGCCATGCCAAGTGGCTGCCAAATGCAGTCAGCCGAGAGGGCTGCAGGCTGCCAACACAGGAACAATTTAAGCCACAAGATATGTAATTAACATCATACTGGATTGAAACCCAAAGTAGAAAACAACTGTTCCTGAGTCTATATTAACATAGAAAATGGTTGGATAAATAAGTGGAGGAAAAGGACCAAAACTTTCTTGCAGAATAATCCTAAACAATGAAATTATTAGAAGAAAAAGCAGCAAGTACCACACCACTTCCAGTGAGGTTGGCTGACGACTATGGAATCAGCAGGAAGACTCAGATGTGGGATATCTACACAGACTCAAAGTACCTCTCCCCAAATATCTATTAATTATGGGATTCTTTCATTGGACATCCACGGTGCTTTGAGGCAGTGCTCTTGGGGTATAGTACTCAGTTCTTCTCCCTCTGAGGCAGCTGGACCTCCAAAGGCATCAAAGTCTGTGGACCTGTACTAGATTGGGAGAGGCCAGAGAAAAGGACCAGCCACTTGTGGTCCTGGTCTGAATTGGGAACAGACAGACTATGGGAAAGCTAGCATCCGGCCGAGTCGGATGTGGATCTTCTAGATGTTATGACATCCATGGTTATGTACCATAAGATGGTTCTGTAGTGTAGAGGTCTTCAGGCTCACCTAATGTGGTTATATGAGATGGTCATGTTGGGATGCGATGGCAAAGCCCTGACTGGCCTGTTCGTGTGAACTGTTATACATACCCGGCCTGGTTTGTACATCATCTATGGACATCCTTCTGCATCAGTGCCTGTGGGGGGGGGGGCAGCAGAGACCATGATCCTCAAGTGTTATCCCTAGGCATTAACAGGGACTGTCTGTCTATACTTCACAGTGCAGGGAGCTGGGGAAAGGTCACACAGATACTCACCACAGTGTTGTTCAACTTCTCTCTAAATCCAAAATTATCCCAAAATAAGTTCAAGAATGTCTACCCTGAAAGCAAATCTAAATCCCACTGTAAGAACTTATAGCCACCCTGTGAGCAGGACTTATCAGTAGACTTGACAGCCAAGAAAAAAATCAATAAACTGGAAATATATCTACAAAACTTCCCCAAACTGAAGACCACAGAGAGCAAGAGGGCAGTGAAGGAGGGAAACGTGGCAGAGCACGTGAGAGTTGCAGGGAGACATGGAGAGGATAAGGCATGCATGATCTGAATCCAACATGCAAGAGCTACAGAGGACATGGAGAAGCTAACATAAACGTGATCACAGCCCTGTAAGAGGAAGGGACTGAAGAATGGGATACAGAGCGCTGGAAGAGATAATAGCCACAATTTTTTCCACTAGTAAAAACACCAAAACACATATTCATAGGTTTAGAAGCTAGATAAGTTATCTTTCTGACCCTCTCCCACTCCAAACTCAAATTGCTGTTTGCCCTAAGTCCTGAAGACAAAAATGTAAAGAAAAGAAAAATCTTGAAAATGGCCAGAAGGGAAACACTTACCAAAGAACAGAGATCAGAAACACAGCAGACTTTATCAGAACTGTGTGGGTCAGAGGGCGATGGATCAGATCTTTGCCAGTGATTAAAAAAGAAACAATGGGGCTGGAGAGATGGCTCAGCGGTTAAGAACACTGACTGTTCTTGCAGAAGAACTGGGTTCGAATCCCAGCACCCACATGGCAGCTAACAACTGTAACTCCAGTCCCAGGGGATCTGACAGCCTCTTCTGTCCTCCACAGGCATTTCGTGACACAGGTGCACTTACCTACGTGCAGGCAATACATGCATACACGAAATAAGAATAATAAAATTAAATTTAAGAAAAGAAACAATGTCAACACTAAATTCTTCAAAACATCCTTCAAAGTTGGGATAAACCCTTAGACAACAATGTCGGGAAATTGAATCCTCCTTGGATTCAATTGGTGATGTAAAGTGTTAACTTTTTACCTGTGATACCACTAATTTTCTTGGATTTTTAAGTAGTCTTTAGCTTTTGTACACATACATATCAAAGTTTTATGGAAGGCAAGTGATTTTTCAGGATGGTATAAAGGGATTAAGCAAAATAAAGATGGGCCCAGAGTTATGGTTCTTAATGCTGGAGGGTGATTGTAACAGGGCTCATTATATGGTACCCTAATTTTAAAGAAATGAAGATTTTAATCATAAAAATGAAGAGCTATGGCTGGGCGTGGTGGCGCACGCCTGTAGTCCCAGCACTCGGGAGGCAGAGGCAGGCGGATCTCTATGAGTTCAATGCCCTTATCCATTATGCTGTCTCTCCAGCCCCAATAAAGATGGGAGATGTTAATTCAGTAAAGTGCTAGTTGTGGGACCTGAGTGACCCTGTCTCAAAAAGACCAAAAAAAAAAAAGAAAAGAAAGAAAGAAAGAAAGAAAGAAAGAAAGAAAGAAAGAAAGAAAGAAAGAAAGAAAGAAAGAAAGAAAGAAAGAAAGAAAGAAAAATGAAGCGCTTATGAAAGATTACGAGAAATCAACCCGAGGGAACTCACTGCTAACAGACTCCGAGAAGGATGAAGAGAAGCCCCGGGGGGCAGAAACAGGCAGCTATACAGCAAAGGATGCTGGGAATGAAATGAATGCAGGGAACATGAGATTCATTTCCCTCGCTCTACTGGATCCAGAAGGGCGGTCAGCAAGTGCTTTCTTATTGTGAGGAGAAGGTATTTTGGGCCTGGCAGGCCAGATGGTCTGCTGCCAGCACCCACCCGCTTGCGGCCCTGTGCGAAAGCAGCCATATTGACCACGTCAGCAAACAGCATGGCCACGTGCCAATAAAGCTTTATTGACAAACACAGCCTGCTGCTGGTGGTTTTCCCACCCTTGCTTTAAAAGGCGGTCAAGAGGAACGGGAGCAGTATGTCGTGTTTAACGGGAGGGAAGGCTGCCGTGCGTGTGGGAGGCTCGGGAACCAAAGGGGGGCTGGGCTGAGCTCCAACCGCAGCCTCTCTGCGCCCGGCCGCCCCGCATGTGGCCCTGCCTCGCAGCCCTGTCGCCACCGCAGCCGTCCAGCCGGCAGACTGCATCCCCGAGCTGGGAGTCAAAGCCTGTGGAGTGGGTTGGCAGTGCTGGAGGGTAGAACCAGCCTGCATGACGACTGCATCTTAGGGGCGTCGTCAGGGTGCCTTGGAAAGGTGAGATCAGGCTGACGGGATGGTTCCATGGGAAGGACACTTGCAACATGGCATGAGACCCTGACTTCACCTAGGGGGCCCGAAACCAGCCGACAGGCAGATTCACCCCGGCCCCCGGCGAATGCTGCAAACCAGGGCCTCGTCACCCAGGCAGCTCTGACTAGTTCCACCTGGGTCCTGGCCAGCGGTCCGCCCTCGTGCCCTCTCGGTGGATGCCATGCAGGAAGAGGAGGGGCAGAGCCTCAAACTCCCTCCTCCCTCTTCAGATAGGATGCTTGGGTTCGGGGAAGGTGGGTCCCTACTCCCAGTCACACAGCAGTAAGGGGCGGGGTCTGGATACACCCAGGGATCTGACCCATGCTTCGTCCTGTGCCTGAGGGGGCCAAGAGGGGGCAGAAAGACGGAGATGGTGGCCACCAGAGGTCCCTTTGGCGCCTTGGCAAACCGTTAGCCTCCCCCTCATTGGAAGCGTGGGAGAGGCCTGGGGGGCTTTCTGGAGCAGGGGAGAAGGGCCAAGCTTCTTTCCACCCTTCAGAGGAAGGAGAGGGATCCCACTGGTGCCATCACTAGCGTGTCCCTCTGGCTTTCTACGTCCTGGCCATGCCCACCCCGAGGCCCCATGTGGATGGACACCCCCTCGGCTCCTCAGTTTGGGCTGCCCTGTGCTCACTTTCTCCAGTTCACCCCATGTCTGCTTGCCCCAGGGCCTTTGCATTTTCTGTTCCCTCTTTATCACCCCCCACTGGAATGAATATTCCTGATTCCACCCCCTGCATTGCAAACTGGGACACCTGCTGGACACTCCTGGAACTACAGGGAGTGCCCCTGAGGTCTGAGTCTGTGCTACCTCTGCTAGCTTGGCTTCTAGGAAGGCAGCAGCTCCTCCACCTGTAGCTGTGTGACCTGGGACCAGTGGCTTAGCTTCTCTGTGCCTTTGTCTTTGAATATATGGGATGGGCATGATGCAGATCACTAAGTGGCTGCATGCAGAGTGCTCCAGCTGGGCAACTGGATGGAGGAACAGGGATGAGAGCCTACCATGGACAGGAGAAAGGAAGGAAAGAAATTTGGGTGATTGAGAGGATGAGGCTGGGGAGACCCACCTCTGTTCCCCCAGGCCCAGTGCAGTCACCTGTCCTCCCAGTCCACCCGGCAGAGCCTCTCCCAGAGCTGCGAAGGCAGTTTGCAGTGGTTTACTAAAATCCCCTCGGCCAGATCGCAGCTCTGTCTCCCCTCCCTCCTCCTCCTCTTCTCCTTCCCTCTCTCCTCTCTCCCCCTTCCTATTTCTTTCTCCTCCCCTCCTCTCTCTACCTCTCCCTCCTCGAACTCTCCTACCTTCCTGCTCTCTCTTTTCTCTCTGTCTTCTCTCGCTCTCCTGCCTTCCCCCTTCCGCCTGTGCCTATGATCACAGAGCTGCTCCTCATCAGGCTCCCACTTACCCTGGTCCCTCTCTCACCGAATGCCACTTGCACCTGCCTTTATAGAAGAGAGACAGACTAAGGCCAGCACCCAAAGAAGGAGCTTTAACTATCCCATCAGTTGCCTGTAGCCCATAGCCTGGGCTCTCACACAGTCCTCCCTCAGCCTTTCCAGACACAACGTCCTTCCAGGACAGAACTCCAAGGTGCCCCGCTCTCCTGAATGAGGGGGAGGAGATACCCCAGAGTCTGGAGCTCACACTCTGGGCCTCTTGACACCCACAGGTCCAGACTTGCCAGGGGCCCCTGGTTACGTGGTCACGGGTGTGCAGGTAACCAATCAGCACCCAAGCAGGGTGTGTCTCTGCTTCTCTACTTCCTTCTAGGTGACCCCTGTGTCCCTGTGAGAGAGATGACACAGGCAAGAGCACCTGGGGACACAGCCTCATCCCAAGCCTCTCAGCTCAGGAGGAACACGTTCTCACTGGAAGAACAAAGGCAGCCGAGGCCAGTGCAGGTCGGGCAACACATTCAGTGGCTGCACACAGGGGCAGCAGGCGGAACAGGTGGTAGATGGAGTCCTCTGACCGGCAAAGGTTCCTCAGGGGGAACAGAGTCAGGATAGGAGAGGTCCCCACAGAAGACTGTTCCACATCCCACCGAGAGGGTAGTCACTAAGCCACATATGCTGCCCTTGCTCCTGCCTGCCACCAGGATGTGTCTGGCATCTGATCCATGAGGAGCGGCTGCCTGTCATCAGTGCAGGCCCTTAATTAGGCAGTAATTGGCTCTCTAAAGATATTTATTGACTTCAAGTGTCTATGTAATCAGAAGTGTCTCACACAGTTGAAAAGCCTCGTTAATTTTTTTAATAATTAAGTGGTACTTAATGAAATAGGAATAATTGTCCAGCCTCGTCTCTGTGAAACCTTTCTCAGAGACACGTGATTCAATGGAACTCTATAGTCGTTGGAGGCCCAGACAAGGGATAAGCCAGCTGTGCCAAGACTCCTAAAGTCCACCTATCTCCATCACAGGGCAAGGGGTAGGTGACTGGTCTCAGGAAAATGGCCTCTCTGGAGACAGAACAAGCCTATAGGAGACTGAGGTCTACCAGAGACCCAGGCTGCCCAGGCCCAGCTCACAAATCCATCCCTATCCACAGCAGATGGAGACCAGACGGCCTGGCTCAGCTGGGCTGACATCACTACACACCTGACAGCCCACAGTTGTGGATACTGCTGATTCTCAGATGAGGAAACAGAGAGCAGGGTACAGTTACAGAGCTAGGAGGGACAGAGCCAGGACACGGTGCAGACCTGTATACAGGTCACAAACCTGCGTACATACACACAGACATACACACCTGCATACATACACACAGAGACACACACACCTGCACATCCACACACCTGCACACCTGCACGCATACACACCTGCACACCCACACACCTGCACACACACACCTGCACACCTGCATACATACACACCTACACACACACCTGCACACCTGCATACATACACACCTGCACACACACACCTGCATACATACATACCTGCACACCCACACACCTGCACACACACACCTGCACACCTGCATACATACACAACTACACACACACCTGCACACCTGCATACATACACACCTGCACACCCACACACCTGCACACACACACCTGCACACCTGCATACATACACACCTACACACACACCTGCACACCTGCATACATACACATCTGCACACTCACATGTTGGGAGCCAAAAGGCCAGAAGAAAAACATCTTTATGGCAGCTTTAAGGTTTCCTGCACATCTTTATGACCTTGAGAAAAAACAGCCTTATGGTTTTCTGTAAGATTCTATAAGTTAGCACTTAGTTAAAGAATGTAGAAAAACAACTTGTGACCCAGGTCAAGTCAGCCTTGAGAAATGTCTACCACAGATGTTAGTCCTGAGGAATGTTCACCATAGCCGTTAGCAGATGTTCCTTTAGGATAAGAAATGCCCCTTGAATAACCCTCCCTAGCTATAGCATCCACCTAACAACACCGATTAGCGTCTGCCCAGCACTTCCCTTCTCACCTCCCTCTTCCCAACTACCAGTATATATGCCTGCTGCTTTCAATAAAATTTTGAGGCTTGATCAGATCCTTGTCTTGCCTCCATTTCCTCGCGTTCCTTGTTTGTTTCATTCCTTCAGGTTATTCTCCCGACCCCCCCAACGTTGAAGCCCCGCAGGCCGGGGCACTCACACACCTACATACTTGTAAATCATGCATACCACACATGTGCACCCTCACGTGTTCGAATCACATGCTCCCACACTTGCACAATGGCCACTGGCAAAGGCTGCAGCCTCCTTACCATGCAGGTGGGTGGTCTAGAAGACCGCATCACACACAGGTGGGTGGTCTGGACAACCGCATCACACGCAGGTGGGTAGTCTGGACGACCGCATCACACGCAGGTGTGTAGTTGTGACGACCGCACCAGTCCCCGCCCAGTCACTGCTCTCACCGCAGTGAACCAACCCCCTTTAATACTCACATTCTTTTACTCAGTGGTTACTCAGAAGTGCATTTGGCCTAAAATCTGAATGACGCAGAGGCACGTGATACAGAGCAGTCTCAAATCTTGTGGCCACAGCAGATCCAGCAGCTTCTCTGAGACCCATGATCCCAGACATCCCCTTCAGCCCCTAGGATGCTGATGCTGGCTCACGTCACTAAACACCAAGTGTGTTCACAGGTTGACTCATTCAGGGGCAAACCCCTACTGTGGCCTGGCATATGGCTGTTGGTGCCCTCTGTGCGGCTGGTCATCACGTTTTGCTACAGAAATGTCTGTGTGTTCCTAGTCAAGAGGTGTCTGTAACGGGGAGGGGGGGTGTCATGCATTACCATTCAGAAACCTGAATGTCTAGCATCAAAAGATGATGAGGGGCTATGGGCAAGGAACCCACCCCTCAGGCCCTAGGAACTGGTTTTGCGCCTGGCTGACTTGGGTTCAACTCCAGGGATGTCACTGGATGTATCTGAGACCTGGCTCCTTCCTCAAAGCCCTGGTCCCTGCATCTCTTACTCGACAGTGGGAGGAGTTAAGCTGAGTTCTTCATGGCCATCGGTGTCTAACCGTCATACCCTGAGTTATGATTTCCAGAGCGCAGCCCCTCCCCCTGGAGACTAGAGGCAACCAGAAGCAAGGATTTTGCTCTGTGGGAGAAAATATTGCCCTCCGTGGTTTCACACAACCACAGGAACTGAGGGACAGCACCCCTGCTAGTTACCACAGGCTAGATGCCAGGAAAGGACCCCTTCTTTTGAAGCTGTTGACCAGGGTCCCATAGACCCTCAAACGGTACTGCCCATTGCCTCCATTCTTGGTTACCCACAGAACTTCATGGGGAGACCCTATTGCTGGAGACACATACATGAGCACAGAATAAACCAGGAGAGATCAAGCTGCGGCTGACGTCAGTGCTGCGTCTCTTCTGCCCATCTCTCCTGGTGCTGGAAAGTGCTGTGCGTGCAACCAGAAAAGAGGAGTGATCATCAACTTTGCCCAACTGTGAGTTCTGCAAGCTACAACTGACCTGGCAAGATATGCCCACTGGTACAATGGTGGTGTGAATGTTACGGGAGTGACCAACCATTTTCTGATTTGATTTGAGGGCCTCTACCTGACTGACACTAATATCAGGCCTAGGAACCTGTCACTAGACAGGTCACAGTCCACAGGGAGGAGCTTACTACTAATACTCGGCCAAATGGGCAGAGTTTTAAACAGACTCTTAAAGACTTATTGCTACACCCACAGACTAGTGCATCTCTCAGCTCTCACCAAAGAAACTTCTTCATGAAGCAGATGGTGATTAACACCAAAACCCACGACTGGTCAGTGCGCAGAGAACAAGAGGCTGCAGAGTGCTCATCCCTGAATAGGACGCCTGTGTCAAACTTCTGCCTCCCAAAGCTCAGAGGCCATTGCAGAAGAGGGGGCCACAGAAAGACTGCAAGAGCCAGAGGTGGTGGATGACCACAGGGAAACAGCTTTCCAGACAGCTGGGCAGTTACTCATATGAACTCACAACAGTGGTGACAGCGTGCACACGTCCCATGTGAGGTCAAACCAGACAAAAGCCCGGCACAGAAGTGGGCAGGTGCAAAGAACCTCACACAGTGGAGGAACTACTAGCAACCGATAGCTGCTAGAGGGGGAAAGTCATGACTCTGGGCAGGTTGACCAGGCCCCAGTGGATGGACCTATACCAACGCTTGGGGCTTGTATAACAGGGTGCATGAAATCAGGTCGGGGATGGTAAAGGGGGGGAGTGTAGATGGGGAGGGGGCCTAAGTGGGTCAAAATCGTATGAAATTTGCAAAAATTTTTAAAAATTACCAAGAGTGTCATAGGGCACCTCTGGGAAAGGTCACCCCCTGTACAATCCATAGTTCCCATATCAATGGAACACGGTGTCAGGGGACACAAAGAGGCGATACCCTGGCCCAAAGGAGGCCCTTCCTGGGGTTCATGCTCTTGAGAAGGAAACTTGCTGTTACCGGCAGCTTTCTGGAACTTGGATCCTCAGGTGAGCTGGAAAGTACTAGAAAGTGAGGTCCCTTCCACCTCAGGAGCCAGACTCTAGTCCTAGCTTTGCCCCAAGGTGTCAACTGCAGCTGGAAGTCCTGTGGATTGGGCTTGTCCATCAGCTGCCAATGTGTTCCTCAGCCTGGTAAAGGAGACGGGCCAGGTCAGCCCAGCCCCACTAGGTCCCATGGCAGAGGCCTCCATACAGTATGGAGGGCTGGGCTGGCCACATGGCACGCAGTCCTCAGCAGTGCCTCTGGGACAACATAATTTTGGGGGCAGATGGGGACACCCTCCTAGACATGCACGTGGCACCAGAGGGGTTCCCCAAACAAATCTGAGTAACAGCTGGCCGCTTGTGGGAGCCAAGCTGGCTCCATGGAATCTCCCTCTACTTTGGACTGCTTCTCTCCTGTTCTGAGCCATTTTCCGTAGTCCCGCCCTAATTGCAGGGGCACTCCACAATTAGGTGAACAAAAGGGCCATGGTACCCTCCCGGGAAGCCCATGCAGTGGGCACAACAGTCTCATGCGTGTGCCAGGTGCCGACTCAGTGCCAGGCGGGACTCTAGGACCCAGCTGCAGCACTACACAGTGCAGTTGCCCAGGCTAGGGGAGGGGGCACATCTGCTGTAGACCCTGGCGGCCAGTGACAGAGCTAGGATCAAAATGGCATCAATACCCTTTCCAATAACCAGTCTGGGCTCTGGAGCAGTGCCCCATCTGTAATTAAGTGACAGCATGTCTGAGGTGTGGCTGGGCGCCTATCAGGACAACAAGACCTCACAGACTGAACAGAGAAGTCTTTAGCTCTGGGACCCACTTGGCCTCCCACCCCATTGAACCACCTCGACGTGCAGTTGCCAACCAGTTAGTGAATGAAGGAGGAAGTCAGCACATCCAGACCCTGCTGCCCAGCCTGGGCCTGGCATTCGTGCCCCACTTCCCTCAGGACAGATCAGGAGCACTTTCCTAGAGAGGAAGCTCCAGCCCCATCAAGGAGCACCCACCTCCCTGAGGGCCCTGATCAGGGCACAGTCATGATGAGCAGCCATGGAGTGTAGCCTAGTCAGACTGGGATGGGAGCTTCTCTGCAAAGGCCCGAGGGTTGAGTGACTGACCTGACACCTGCAACTTAGTTTTGAATTCAGGAGACCTGACTTCGAATCCTGCTGGCCTCTTCATAGCTGCTTAGCCTGGACCTCAGTTTCTCCACTGGAAGCCTGGAGCTTCCTTTCCAGGAAAGTGCTCCTGATCTGTCCTGAGGGAAGTGGGGCACGAATGCCAGGCCTAGGCTGGGCAGCAGGGTCTGGATGTGCTGACTTCCTCCTTCATTCACTGGTTGGCAACTGCACGTCGAGGTGGTTCAATGGGGAGGGAGGCCAAGTGGGTCCCAGAGCTAAAGACATCTCTGTTCAGTCTGAGGTCTCATCGTCCTGGAAGCCTGGAAGTCCTGTTGCCATGTGATGTGGGGGCATGCTCTGTGACGCACTGCCTGGGTGTTAGGCTAGGGGTGTCTATCCTTGAAACACTGCGTTCATCAGTCTGGAATTCATCCAGGCCCACTGACCCTCATGGAGATGAACCTTGAGACCCTCAGCCACTGTCCACGCACCAAATACTCACATGAGGGCTTCGCATCACCCGGATCTGTGGTCTCCTACAGTTTCAGCACCTGGTGATTGTGACCAGAATGTGAGTCTGGAGAACATTCCTGATTACAGGGAGGAGGTGGGGTCTGAGGACAGTAGACGAAAGGCACACCACTGTTGGGGGGGTGGGGCACA